TCCAAACATGCTAGCATCGTTGCTTAGGGTGGTCAGAAGAATACATTTTATCAGCGTCTTCACCGAACGGAACTAAGTTATCTGTGTATTCTAAGACAACATGAGAATGAAACACCACCACAGTTAATTTCCTGGCAAGATATAAATATTCGAATAGTTATACGATTTAAATGCTATCACTAACGGCATATAAATGAAAGAGCGGACAACTCTGTCGAACGCCAATTGAAGTAATCAATTCCGACGACAGTTCTTTATAAGCTCTGACCCGACAAGTAGTGTTCCAGTGGAGAGGCTAATATAATTCTATGGTACGTCTTTCACTAACAGACACTTCCACAAAATCTCACGATCGACAAAGTCAAACACCGCCTTCAGGTCAAGGAACACAACTATTGACAGACATCGAGAATCTGTCTATGTTCTAGCACCTGTTGAAGTGTGAATATTCGATATGTACACCTATGTCCAAACCCCAAACTATCCCGGTTTGATAGTCTGTTCGTCACGATCCCTAGTTAGCGGTCGACGAATTATTGAAGCTAATGTTTAAGACACTACATTAGTCATACCGATTCCTCTGTGATTGTCACAAGAGGACCTATGTCCTTTCTTATGGACTGGGACAATCAGTGACTGAGACCACTCAAATGGGATCATGTCCAGGTTCCAGATTCTAGCTGGTATCTCAGTCAACCTAACCGCTTACACTGGATCACTATCCCTAAAAATCTCAGGTGTTAATCCATCAGGTCCGAGTTTTTCGATCGCTTTATGGTGCATACAGGCTTCTTAACCTCGTTAAGAGTTGAAGAACCCATATCAGTTTGTCATTCACATTACCCAGAGATAGATGGTGGGTAGCTGATGTGTGGCTGTAAGCAGCATATCTGTTCCCTAAGGCGTTCTGCTCAGCACTCCAACCTCCCAGATCGAGAGTGAATAATAGTCTCGTCTTCTTCCGAAGTAGTCGCACTAATAGCCAGTTTCCGAATTTCGGCTTTCTTGATAGGTCTAAATAGTTTTCCACTGCTACCTATTGCCGCTGCCTTTTCCATCGCCCTTGCTTTCGCCACCTACCACTGTTCTCGAACATTTTCTCCGCTCCTCATCATGTTCACACCCAGACGGGATCAGTTTTCGAGCGTCTATCAGTTCGGTAGACGCTACTGAAACCAGTTGTTTATCCCTAACTTTATGGTTTAGTTTACTAGCAGGTATCACTGCCGTTTCCACAGCCTTTTGGATATCGTTCCAAGGTGGGAATCACTAACATGGCCGCCTAACTGTTTTTCTAGTTGTCTCAGAAATATATTCTCAACTATTCTATTCGAACCGAAAATATTCTCCAGCCTGGACGGGAGGACACAACGAAGGCTTCCTCTTTTCCATGGTGTTTGTGGTGTAGTCTCATTCTCCGAGGTGAATGTTTAGGTTGTGGAGCTCTGATTGTTCTTCTGGACAACATCGTCCGCACAGACGTTAGATGGAAGTGAGGTATTCGAATTTCTACAAGTATGTCCTGCAGATTTTTTCTGTTAATCTCGACCCTGATTGGTTGTTATTAACCTTAAACCTGTCGTTGTTTGCTGCTTTATCCTCAGCGTATTCCGTTTGATCTGTTTCTTGACCCTACATTTGTCTGGGAATTTTGTGATTGGCTGATAAATTGTATCGCTGCCGATGTGTTTGTTGATTACTGATTGACGTGAGTGCCAAGCTTCTAAAAATTCTTTAGTGTTCTTCGTTCTCCTCCAATCTTTATTTCAAGATTGTTCCAAGCAAATTTATGTGCAATGTTGTCCATTTATATTGTTGAATTTAGGGAAAAACGTCATGGTATCTGACCACAGATAAAGCTAAAGAGGACGTCCACTTTGTCTTATACGGTGTTTTTCACAGTCTGAGCAGTATATTTTGTAGCTGATATTTGCGCTTCTTCTTTTTTTATTTCGTCCTTTGGTTTACATAGGATCGACTGAAGTAATTCTGTTCATTGATATGCAATACGTATTAACAAATCTAACTATACAAACGGAGAAATTGTTGAAATCTAAATCAATACTTTTTTTCTTACTTCTCTATGAATTAATGCCTTTTAAATTGTGCTGCTGATCACCTGTCCATAGTCATATTTATTCTATGAACCTAACTATAGACCTTTTGTATAAAGGAGTCTCATGCCTCCAAAACTATGCTGTGGTCGCTATTCTGTCAAGACATCCGCAACATGCATACTCGGGCGCTCATAGTATGATTTGTAGGTTGGTATTGAATAAAAAATCAGATAAACAGTGAATATTGTTGATTATCAATGTCTGTTATTTTGACAAACTCTACTCTTTAACTGAAATTTCGATTTCAACGTACATAAATCCAGCTTCCTACTCAAACTTCTTTTGTATCCACTTGATATTTCACAACTCTTCCTTCTTCGTTGCTGTACTCCTTCATTTGTGGGTTATATTCTCACATTTCCATCATCTACTTTAATTTTAATGGTCAGAATGAAATTTATCTTGACTTTCAACTGTAGTGACTACTTCAGCATGAGAAGTTAAGTAGTACTTTGGTTATATATATACACTTGCCACGCTGCTGTCTTTTCTCCCTTTTCAGAACCCTATTCACAGTGGAAAATCCATGGCGCCTTCAGGGAACATACACCCTATGTACATGCATGGCTTTATCATAGCTTGTATCAAGCGCGATCCAATTGATCTTTCCCAACAACTTCACTGCTGATCTCAGCAAACCACTGAAGAAACCCATTGTGCACCTTCCCTAGTTGTGCTCTCCTATTGAAAATGTGACTGTATCATACTGTTTCTGTCAGTGACATTGTGTAAATGTGTTATCATAAACTGACTCAAAATTTAACTGCGACATCTTTTGCAGTAAGTGTGAAAGAATCTGTGACAATGAGATCTAACCTGCAAACTGACATACCTTTTGTAACGCAGTTATTTGAAAATAATAATTATTATTATCTCAGAGACATACCTTTATAAACTGAATGGTCCATTTGTATTGTCCAGCAATATTCAAGCACTAGTCGATTAGATATAAACTGGTTGAATGACAGATGCTTTTCACCGTTTAATCAGTTCTTTAAACATAATTTTTGGTTCCTCTCAACCGAAACACAAGTTATTCAAATGGCGTAAACTACACAAAGCAAAGGATTATCACATATATGTGTAATCAACTTGTACATGAGAGAATAAAATAGATGAGCATTATCATTGATTAATAATCAAGTATTTTGTTACCAGTTGAACAATATTTAGGAAATGCAGGTGAAAATGATGAAATTCATACTAATGATGGCATATTTTGAACAATATGAACACATAAATAACTTGCCAGGAAATGGAACGGGAGGTCAGAACAGAGTTGCTTTAAGAACTCCGGTCAGGCAGCCTGTGTTCTAAAAAGTGTAGTAGTCTTAAGTAAGCAATTCAGAAAAAGATATACTAACCAATTAGCAGGGTAACTTCTTCAAATTAAAATAAATCGGTCAATCCATGAGTTCAATTAGTTCTTGAGACCACATCTGCTTAATTCGATTACACTTCACCTGGCCGATTATACAATAGTTAAGCCATATTCAGATTTGTGATAAGAGAGATAGTTTTGTTTCTGTGAAACAATAATTTTGAATTTCTGGAATTCCGTTTAATTTTTTAAGGGATTTGTCAAGAAAATTCAAAACAAATGTGTTCAATTCTAGTGATGTTGTTGTTGATGCTTTTAAATGAACAAAATCTTCTAAGTTATTCATACTCTCTTGTATAATACTTAGTTTAGGATCCAAACTGAGGTTTTGACTGAGAAATAACTCACAAGGAAGTTTGGACTTGTCTTGCCCAGTTGAAATCCAAAATAAATGATTTGAACAAGTAACGATTCTGTTAATCATAAATATAAATACAAATCATTATCTCTGTTATTCCTTTAGTGATAACACAGAATGTTTCCAATTCTGAAAAAGTGCTCCAATTCACAGTTGAAACGCACACTTCCAGTCAGTGCAACCGCCCCAACCGACATAGGAACAAATCAATATTGTTGTCACCACAGTTAAGTATCAGCTTGAACAACTTAATGCAGTTCAGACAGAAACATTGAAACTCAATACAGGCACAAAAAATAGAAACTATTATAAAATAAAAACATTATCATCTCAAAATGGAATCGAACAGATTAAAAAAATGAAATAGTCAGTAAGGACATATTACAAATGAATACATGGAAGGATTTTCACAAACAAAGCCTTCTAAAATGGATCTTACCTTTATGTCACATGTTCATGACAAATTTTGAAATTTTGTGTGAAAAGAAAAATTGATTATTATAACCAGTTTTAACAGTAAATGTTTCACTGAACATTCTCTACACCGTATGTGCAAACTTTCCGTTTTTGTTGCTGTCTTAATGGTCATACTGCTCGCTGCAACTTCACCCCTTTTTCTCGGTATTCCTTCGATTCCAAATGTATTCCTTTGTATGGATTAACCCTTCTTCTCTGTCCTTGATTCACGCAGATATTATGCCTAGTGATGGTAACGTAATTGGTATATAGTGGTGATTGTGGTCAACCACTACACTCTCTATTACACGCTAAATGAGATTCATACCGCAAACTAATCGTCTGAATCCCTGATTACAGTACAGCTTTATCGTTGTCTGCCGGCTGAATAAGTTGTAGGTTTTGGTAGCACAGTGATAGTAGAGAGTATAGACATGTTTTAGCAGTAATAGTTCCTCTTCCAAATAAATGTTTCCGTTTCGAAATGTATTGTAAAGGTGAAGTACATATAACAGTTGGAGGCAGGTCGCGATTGAAACATTTACCGAAATTTGTATGCTGTATTCGATTAATGTGAGGTGTGCTGAAGTCTCCACGACTGGATAACTATCAATCTTAATGCAAGTGAAGATATTCATTGGTAGTAGTTACATGAACCCTTTAATAGAGAGATTTGTTCAATTTACAATTATTTGACAATTTGGTGGGAAGATGAGCAGAGCGCTACGACTTTCTCGTTTTGTCCTACAATCAGCTGGTGTATCAGTTAAATCCAGTGTGGTGATTTGCCATGGTTTGCTGGGTTCCAAGAATAATTGGAAAAGTATATCTAATGCACTTGCTGGGAAAAACTGTGGAACTGTAGGTGTATAATTACTAATTGTTCACTCACAGATTGTAGCTGTTGATTTGCGTAATCATGGAAGTAGCCCTCATTCCGATGATATGAGCTACTTTAATATGGCTGAAGACTTACTCATGGTTGCAGATGACCTCGATTTGCGGAGTGTATGCTTGGTTGGCCACAGTATGGGCGGCAAAGCTGTTATGTGCGCAGCTCTAATGAAAGTAATTATCTTTTAAATTAATATTAGTCAGCCAGAAAGGTATGATAAGTTGGTTGTTATCGATATATCCACAAAGCCGAAACCTACCATACAATCTCTTACACCTATAATAGATCTGATGTATTCGGTGGATTTGAAAACTTTGGGACACAAGAATAATGGAAATTTATCGATGGTTCGGAATTCATTGATAAAAGAATGGGTTACAGCAGTCCCAGTGAGTACATAATCTACACGACTTGGTAGTTTTGAAGACATATTTGGCTTGTTTGTGATTCACTGACACAAGTTTGATATTGAGTGATTACTAGTTGCTAAGTTTTTTAAACGACAAACTTGGCCATAGAAAATCCTAATTTCTCACGTTTTACAATATAAATTTGCAGAAAATAAATATTTAATAAACAAACTTGCTGTCTCGTCTCACGAGTTCAACGTTCACTAGTTTAGTAGGTTGTAATGTCTTTTTAATTCGAAGTGTCCGTCATGTTACGAACTCCTCTCCATTTCTGCACATCCAATGTAATCACAAAAGATGCACTGTGTGTGTGCCGCGAAACAGACTGTTTTGCATATTAATCTGGTTTCAGAAGCGTAATGAATACTTTATCATTTGGACATATTATTTCAATGATAGCTTACTTTTTTTAACCGGACAATTAACAGAACCAAAATGAACTTTACTCACCATTTCACAGTGTCTTATGAGATTAACCGATCATTGCCTACCTTGTTCATTTGAATTTAATCCAGCATCATACGTGGTTTCATTAATTATTTGGTTACAACCTATTTGGCTGATTAAATATGTCGACCTAACGTTAGATGAATTTAGTTACTGATGCCTGTCGACTCCGATGGAGCACAGGTGACTGACTACACCCGTCAACCTACTCTGTCATGGGCCTTCTTTACCGCTTCTATCCAATTGGTGTTAATTCTTCTTATATCTGTCTACAATTCTTTTCTTTTGGCTCTGAGGATTCCAAGTTGGGGCTCGCCTTGTGGCCCCGTCGGGTGATTTCTACTATGTGTATCCTATCCACCTGTGGCGCTTCTTCCTGATCTCTTTGTCTGCTGCATTCCGGTTTGTTTTCTCTAACACTAGGTTGTTGCTGATGGTGTCTGGCCAACTGATCCACAGTATCTTGCGTAGACAACCATTAATAAATTCTTCTATCTAACAAATGTTGACTTTGCGATTCTCTAAGTTTCCGCCCCATACAGTATAATTATCTTGACATTTGTATTGAAAATCCTGATTTTAGTGTTGATTGATAGTTTTCTTGAGTTCTAACTGTTCTTGAATTAAATGAATGCAGCCCTTGCTCTGCCTATCCGTTCTTTCACGTCGAAATGAATTGAATGCCTAACATTTAGTGGGTGATATCCAGATAAGTTCTCTAACAATAATCGGTTTGTGATTACAATGTTATCTACTTAAGTTCATTTAGCTCTGTCACACTTTGAAACCGGAAATAATTAGACTGTGATTTATTCGCAGCTGCAAAAGACGATTTACGTTATATGATACGAGTAACTAGCTATCGTTAGTTACTCAAATGATCTTTTTCGTCTACGAATCTGACCTGCAAGTTTAAGTCCATAGCTACTGCCATAATGTTTTGTCAATGTTCTGTTTTAAGATTATTTAACTGTTGAACCATAGGAAGTGAATAAATCTCAACTCTGTTTCCCCTTGTTATACATCTTGAATAGCAAATATCTGTTTCTTAAAAATTTAATATTGAGAAAGTTATCTTTCAATGAGCAGCAGTTATTTCATTCAATATAATTTAATGTAACGTATTAATTTTGTGTAGAATCCTACAATGCGTGCGTTTCTTCTAACGAATCTTGCAGAAAAAAATGGAGAAATATTTTGGAGAGTGAATCTTGATGCAATTAAAAGCTGTTGGAATGAGATAATAGGCTTTCCTACCGAGCTGGATGGTCGTGTTTTCAATCAACCTGTGCTGTTTGTTGCAGCAAGTAATGTAAAGTATTTAGAGTAAGCCTTCTTTGCATACTTGTAATAACATACATATATAACATCCTATAACAGACAGACAGATACAACGCAGAACTTCGTACGTAAGTATATCAGTTCAGGTTGCCATACCACATCAGCACAGAGACGCAAATGTTAGTTCAAATCCAAGGGTGATAGAGATGTAGAAGTATTAGCAGTAATGGAGAACATTAGGGAACGAAGATATGATTCGAGAAGTATAATTCAGTAAGATAAATTTAGAAGGAGTGAGGTAGAGATTATGAGGAATTCAGAAGGTTAGAATTAGAGAAAACACAAACAGTGGATGCACCTGCGCCATTGCAAGCGATTTTGAGCCATGTCGTTCAAGGTCGCTAACCATCGGTGACTTTCGTCTCGCGGTCCCAACCAGGTAGCCCACATCTACCAACATGACTCAGTCCACTTGTCAGTGACTTCATGGATTTCTGCCATGTTTTGGTCTGGCCTCCCCTAGCTTTCTTCCAACCTACTCCTACACCACAAAACAAAGCTCGTCGAGGCAGTCGGTGGTTAGCCATACGTTACACATGTCCCAACCACCTCAACTGATGAGGTTTCACTACTTCATCTATTGATTTGCCATCCCTACCTAGAACTCGTTTCCTAACGACAGCATTGCTTATACGGTTGTCCTAGGATACACTAGCAATGCTTCGGAGACACCGATGATCGAAGACTAGTAACCTACGAAAGTTCTCTACTCTTAACGGCCATGTTTCGCGTCCGTAAAGTAGGACGGAGCGAACTGCTGCACAGTACACTCATCGTTTGGTTAGCGAGCGGATATCTCGCCTGCGCCATAAGTGACACAGGTTGGCAAAAGCCAATCGAGCCTTCTGCCAACCTACGTCACTTATGGCACAGGCGAGATATCCGCTCGCCAACTTTCTATAAAGGCTTTTTTAAATTTTCGACCTTTTTTGAGAATGATTTCTTTGATTAGCAACGCATGCTCGTATCAGGAGACAAATTTCAAACTTCGATGTATGTAAAAATGTTCCTTTTTGATATAATTATGTTTTGAATCGATATGTCGTAACGGTTAATGGTGTAAAAATCAAGATATAAAAACACTGTTTCTCAACACATGTTTCTGTATTTTAATTCATTCATCAGATGCTTGAGTACTAGTCATAATCCAAGTATTAGGGTTAACAGTTCTACTCAGTCACCCGAATTGTAGTAAGTAGAGCGGGAGGCCAGACCTTGGACCGAAAGTCGAACGTCTTAATCAAGAAATCACTGCTCCAACATTTCATTCACTCGACATCGTACTAAATTGTATTTTGTTTGAGAACTTGATCCATTCCTGAAATTTCGGTTAATAGTTGGGACTAGTAGAATTTATCCTTGATGTGGGTGACACAGAGGATCACCAGATTATATCTTAAATTAGCTACAGTTTCAAATGTGTATTATTAGATTGTAATTAAGTGTTCTAAAGGTTAAACTTCCGTCACCAAATTTTAAGGTTTGGAATCCGATCTTGGAGAAGGGGTTTTTATGGTTTAGGAGCTCCAAACTAAGACAAAACAGCTGTCCAATGTTTGTTGGTATTCAGTTGCTCTCTAGCCAATGTTACTCTGCTGTCAAGAAATATTTTCAACTGGGACTAGTTTCCACAAACTACCAACTTTAGTAATATATTTCATACTTTCAGTGACGTCCGCAATATATCTATTAAACAACATGTGACACAAAATTAATGTCCACTAGAAAGCGTGTGCATTATTTGATTTTATTTCATTAAAACTAAATTTGCTCAAATAGTTTCTCCGAATCATATGCAAGTTTCTGTGTCCTGTTAAGCTTAATCATAATTGCTTATATTTTTACTACCTCTACCGCTATGGGATTTGAATCTACAATTGCATCTCCGTGCTAATGTGATTTGGCGACTTGAACTTATATGTGTACGTACAAATTTCTACGTTATAACTAACTGACTTATCATAATTGTGTATGTTCATAACATTGTTTGTTAGTGATAAAGACAGAAATTTTAAATCCAAACCAGATTTCGTCTTGTTTGCTCAGTGAAGTATATGTATTTTTGGCTTTTTTCACATGTAAACTATGATTTGGATTGTAGTTTAACAACGTTTACTTTGTTAAAGAATTACACCACTTTTATTATTCAGCATCAAATCACTGCTAGGTAACATGGCACACAAGGAGAAGTATTTACACTTACCAGTCAGTCATTATTAACGTATATCCTTGTATTAGTGTGTATCAGCTAAAGTTGCTAGTTACTTCATTGTGCTAAATCGCCATAGCTTTTTCATTTTGTATTCCATATTTATCATTCACTCAATTAATTAGAGATATTGTTATCACATTTTTTACAAGGATAATAAACGATGTAATATAAACCCATCATGTACTTTTTTCTAGATCTGTAGTTCTGTTTTCGTCCCGGATACAGAACGCTCGATTTGCTTTTGCCAATTTACGCCGTTTATGGCGTAGGCGAGATATCCGTCCGCTAACCAAACGATGAGTGTACTGTGCAGCAGTTCGCTCCGTCCTACTTTACGGACGCGAAACATGGCCGTTAAGAGTAGAGAACTTTCGTAGGTTACTAGTCTTCGATCATCGGTGTCTCCGAAGCATTGCTAGTGTATCCTAGGACAACCGTATAAGCAATGCTGTCGTTAGGAAACGAGTTCTAGGTAGGGATGGCAAATCAATAGATGAAGTAGTGAAACCTCATCAGTTGAGGTGGTTGGGACATGTGTAACGTATGGCTAACCACCGACTGCCTCGACGAGCTTTGTTTTGTGGTGTAGGAGTAGGTTGGAAGAAAGCTAGGGGAGGCCAGACCAAAACATGGCAGAAATCCATGAAGTCACTGACAAGTGGACTGAGTCATGTTGGTAGATGTGGGCTACCTGGTTGGGACCGCGAGACGAAAGTCACCGATGGTTAGCGACCTTGAACGACATGGCTCAAAATCGCTTGCAATGGCGCAGGTGCATCCACTGTTTGTGTTTTCTCTAATTCTAACCTTCTGAATTCCTCATAATCTCTACCTCACTCCTTCTAAATTTATCTTACTGAATTATACTTCTCGAATCATATCTTCGCTCCCTAATGTTCTCCATTACTGCTAATACTTCTACTATCACTACCACCCTTGGATTTGAACTAACATTTGCGTCTCTGTGCTGATGTGGTATGGCAACCTGAACTGATGTACTTACGTAAGAAGTTCTACGTTGCAACTGACTGACTGACTCTGTTCTTATCCATAAAATTTTTAATATAAATCATAAAAGTATACCAGGATATTATGGTAAGTAGTAAAATATTCATGTAACATCCCAGATATGCATTGTAATTAACAGTTATATTAAATTAAAATATATCTTTAACTAGTAGGTTGATCATTTAAACTGTTAGATCAAAGCCTGTATCAGGGATGATATCCTGAGGCTCGTAGTTCTCACTGGACACGAAATATTCTGAAATTTATCCCAACATTTATCACTTTCTTTAGCTTCAATTACTCTCTTTCTGTCTACATTTTAACAGTAATTTTTCCAGGGAAAATAGTAGACAGGTGTATTTTTTGTGTTTGTCTAGAAAGTCTACCTACTTGAGCTGTCTTACTGAAGCTATTGTCTAGGATTCTTTCTATTTTTGTAAACCCAGTTACCTATTTTGTCTGATTTATCTATCGTTACTGTTCAAACGTCCCTAATGGTACTTCGCAAACACTTAACACGAATTAATTATATTTTCGGGCCTGGTTGATGAAGGCGAATAGTAGTACGTGTCATAACTAAACTTTACAAAAACATTCACATATTTATATAAATGCTAGAATACCACCTGAAGATTCAAGCTGGGTATTAACACTGATATATACATTACTTATGGTCTGAAGCCAAGTATATAAATTCCACTTGTTAAGTAAGAAACACCATTATGTTTTATGATTGTTGATGTTTAGTTCAGATGTTCTTTTTATATTATTATTCTTTACAATATTCAGACAGTCAGATGTACCAGCTATACGCAAGTATTTTCCTCAGGCAAAAATTGTCCAGATAGCTAATACGGGTCATTGGGTTCATTTTGATGCTCCAAACACTGTGACTAATATGATTGCGTCTTTTATTCGAGATGAATCATTTGATCCTACCTCATTTACAGATGTATCAGAGATCAAATAACTGTATAACAGATGTGCTATAGTTATGTAGTCGTCAAGAGAATGAATAAAAACTTGTTTCAATAATTTTTGTCTTTTCGATAACCTGTTACAAGATGACTTGGTGTTATTCGGTTATTGCACGAAAGTCGGCCACAAATAAGAGTGATAGGACTGGTATTTTAAAGTAAATTAACCAACTAACAGGCTGGATCAGATCTATGTTATGCTCATCAATTGATATGCTTGAAACTACTACAGGTTCACCTTAGTCGCTAAACGAGAGCTAAGACAAATGATTCATTGACAAGATAGGCTACTCTAATCCTTGCGTCCCAAGCCCCCCACTAACGGTATCAAGAAGTCTTGATATGGCGTAGAAAGTGTATTCTACAAGTACCCATAAAATATGAGGTTTTGTTCAGAAGGAGAAGAAGAGCATAATGCTTTACAGACAATGAATATTTATACAGTTAGGTCGACCGTGAATATTAACCAATAGGGAACAACATTTAAAAGTATGTGAACTTGATAGTTTAGGACGACCTTAAATACTGACCAATAGAATTAGACTTACAAAATAATTTCCTTAGGATATTTGATGAATATCCTAACAATCTACTTCTTCATCATATAATAATCTAGAGAATTTGTGTCTAATCTCGTCCCACTCGTCATCTAGTAAGTTTTCGGTTATATTCAGTCCCAGAATCTAATATAAAGAAAACCGATTTCTGATTCCCTCAGGTAAAAGGACAAAATTAGCAGTGACTTCACAATCGCGAATACTTTACAAATTGACGTCATTCGAATAAACGATTCGTCGCCAAGTTTGTGCTTTCTGGGACATTTAAATTCATGAAATCATGTAGTAGCAGACTTTATCGCATGTATAAGATTACTGCTCTCGTTAAGCGAAATAATCAAGTGTGTTTCAATTCTACGTAACGATCGATGCTCAATACGTATATCCAAATAAACAGAACTGAATGCTCAAGTGAAATTCTTCGTTCAGAAAGAGAGCTGAACTATCCTATGTGAGTCATCAGTGATCCTAATAACGAAACCAAATGGAAAAATAAACGGGTAACGGAATGTTAGTGCATTGATTCAACATTCAAACCATGCAGTAGGTATAATTACATGAGGCTTTTATGTACCTCAACAGTTCGACTTTCGTAATAACGTTCAAGCCTCAAAATGTCTGGTAAATAACTTTATTTCATTTCTAGAATTTAGTGAACAAAATAAAGTAGTTGTCTATTATAAAAGTTCAAAGGAAAGGAAGTATTTGAAACATGTAACAGTATTTATGTAGAAGGCCAGAGGAGATTAAGAGGCTGTAAAACCTCTATACAAAAAGACTCAGTTGATTGATGGATTCTGCTATAAATATAAGTCGGCTACTGGAACTAACTGGTAAATGCAGGAAGATTTGATAAATAACTTTAAATGTTAAAGTTTTACGTATGTGATGACTGGTATCGACTAGATGTGGTCAGATAGGACTTCCTATTGCTTTCCTTTGTCGTTTGGTCAAATAAGACCTTGCATTTTTCCAGTTGTGCGTGGAGCAGTTGAAACGGTAAATACACGTAGAGGCAGATGAAATAACCAGCTTGTCTTTATTTCGTGAACGTAGGGTGCATTGTGTGTGAGTTCTAAGGATTTCTATATACACTGAGTTACTATTTCACTGGATACATCATTTTTGAATTGTAATTTCAAGAATACATGCTTTTTGTTACTGCTAGTGACTTTAATTTTGATGTAGCTTCAGATATGTTCCACTAAGACCTTTAATGGATATCCGTGTTTGCTTAGGAAATCCTAGATAAGTTTTAGTTCTTCTTCAAGACTATCATCTGAGCAAATATTTTCAGCTCTATGGGTGTATCATCCATATGTTGACAATAAAATTCTAGTTTGCCTATCTTATCTTTCAAAAGAACATTTTCTAATTTTGCCGGAAATAAGTCAGCCAGGTTTGCACCTAGTGGTGGATACATGTAGATTTGGATGGTTTCATTAATAGTGAAAAATAATTATAATTACTTTCCAATAGTAAACTAAATTACTTACACTTGTTTCATGAGGAAAATTATATTTGAACAACACAAGCGAACCACATTGCTTTTAATGGGATTGTCATTACGTTTTATTCTAATATACAAGAATATTTCTAAAGGTGAATGAAAGCATTGAATTAATCAAGACAATTTTCCTGTCAGTGGTTACAAAGAAGCAAATTTCGTAACTATGCATAATAAATGGAAAAAATACGTGATGTTGAGTGGACAGATATACCGATAATGAAAATAAAATTTCTCATCAGCAGGGAGTAAGTAAGACTTTGATAGGCAGATTTTAAGACAACAGTCATGAAAATTTATGCAATATCTGTTACCTCTGCCAAAAAGTTTCACAGAATTATAAATTAGTACTATACTTATCTATGATCAGTCAAAATCGAGCAAACATGGGTCATTATCATCTAATGTCATACTGTTTCGCAAGAGGATCTATACATTACGCAACACACTAAATATTCTCTCCAACTCAATGGCTTAAGAACCTCCTTGTCAAGCGTTTCACCACAGAACCCAAACTAGCTTTGCCTTCATAACTCCTGAATGATGGTGTTACTCTATCTTTTTGTTCTTATTTCAATACCTTACTCGCGTACAAAAGTAGATGCTATTCGTGACGGAAAGATGAGGGTAGATAATATGGCGGAAACGGAAAGTATTTTCGTAGCAGAAGATTAGGAGCAGTCATAGGAAGATAATAGGACGCTTGTTATGATATTTGTCAGGGTGTCTCGATATTTAAAAAAAATACCATCTGAGTAAATCGCAGCTGATGAAATCAGCAAACACTTCCAAAAGAAATATATAGACGCTAAATCATATACTGGACGCATTAGTCATGGTACAGAAATAATGCATACTTTTTCTGGTATCAATACAGCCTACTAAATAGACTACTGAGTATTACTGAAAGTGATACGGTGGACGACGTTAATAAAGTCACTAGGTAAGTAAACTATTTCAACATGGCAAAAAGATAGTATTACCTGATTAATGCATAATCCTGATAGATTTTCCGTCTCTCGGTAACCACTTACTGGCCACTATGATCTGGACAGTTCGCAATGTCGAGAAGTTGACCGTGACAATTGAGTGTTCTGCACAAATCTAACTTTAGATATGAACAATTTTGTTCAGTTTTCTCTAGGTCCGGTCGTTCGCTAATTCTTCACAACACGTTTGAGAGCGACGTTCGCTCGCAATTCCCTTCACGTCTGGAATGCTTCTGGAGTCACATATGAAGAGCGATATATGATGCTTCATATAACATTACTGATTCACAATAGGAACTCAACGTTTCCTGAATAGTATGATAGTAATAAATTCTTCTGAGAGTTGCATATGGTGCAGTTTGACAATCAGAACAACGACTAAATTCGAAGGTGTTTGACTGAGATCAATGAAAAAGCGATACCGCGATCCAGACGCTTACTTTCAATCCCACTAACAGTGCTCAGTGTGATGTTATCACATTCGTTATCTGAATACACAGTCCGAGACAACTGGAAACTATTGTACATCACACCAATTTTCAGAGGAAACTGACACAATCAACTTTCAAGCTACCGGTTGATTGCACTCATTTTTATATCACCATAAATTGTCGTCCTTTTTATATGGTGATTTATGCAACCACTAATTATCCATCAACTTCTTTTTGCCCCGCAACATGGTTTCGTAAAGAGGCAAAGTTATATAGCTAACCAGCTGACTGAAATATTTAGATGGACAACCATCCTTATTCTCTAAAGATAAGTAAGATAAGCTGGATCTCTTGGAGGATATGACTCAACTTGACGGTTGCGAGAGTGGCAACAGATCTAATTTTGACACTACAAATAGGAGATTAGTTCACTTGAGACATACTGAGGATTACATAAACAACTTAGGTAACTCTCTTCTAGATGTGTCAAATGTTGGTAAGTATTTACGATTCCCGGCATCCAATGAGGAATCCGTGGATTAGTTTCTTTGTAGCGCAATTTCGATCAGTTTGATATTGGAACGTCCCATTTACTCTGAGACATCTTTATTTACCTATCAAGAGTATGGACTCGTAGTGTATTTTTCCCCACTTGGAAAGGACAGAAGTAGACTGGAAAGTATTCTAAAGTGTTCCACAAAATCAGTTTGAGGACTCTAGTTCGGACATTGTAAGTCTCGAGTCACTGGAGCTTCACAGATGTGAGCCCAAGCGTTTCACAGGCCACCTCTCTATGACTTACAAAATTTTTAACAGTCCTGAGCATTTCCTTAAGCTCAGTCCTAACGCGAAACTTTGAGGAAATACCCAGACTCTTTAAGCTCAATTAGCAAATGAACTGCAGACATACCTGCAGATAGTCAAATGCCGGAATCCGTTACCGATATAATGATCAAAAGCGACTGTTCTAGTGTTTTTACTGAGAAACTACATAGTCTCGAGGACTTAACACACTAGTTCTTTAAAATATACTATTATTCCTCTTTTATACGTTGAATATACATAGGTTCCTACCAGGAGCCAATAGTGATCGACTGCAACTTGTTATGGAATTTCGGTACGCAAAAGCTTTTACTCCGTCGGCAGCTATTTTATCAGTTTAATCAATTTTCGCCCATTTCCTGTGTTTCCTTCCCATCGCTTACACCTCGGTTCTCTTGAATAATCTTTACTACCAATTAATAAACTTAATTATTCATTTCTATAGTTAGTTCTAAAATTCTATTGGCATTTGACTTTTATACTTATTATTCTCTGAATCGCAACCGCCTGATCTACGGCCTGGTAACGTGATAGCTGCTGGTATCCAGAAACTCTACTCCTCTGAAACAAACATACTCATTTAAATAACGGGACTCACAAACAGCCGCTAACTCACTTGAATTAGAGCAGTTGAGTGGTTAGACTACCATCCATTGAACACTACTAAATACGTGGAATCGTACCGACATAACAATAATCGAGTACGAAGAAACCAATTTAGTTTACACATGCTTGTCCAAAGGATTTTGGATTAGATATTGGATATTGGAAGGTCATCGAATCTGTATAATGGCCGCGGCTTTTACACATGGTTGTAGTGTGTTTTCGAGATTGGCTGGTGGGTTTATTTCTATCAATACATTGAATGCTGATTACATGAAATTGGAACACAATAAGATATAAAACGATTTTTCATGTTTTATAGCATTTCGAAGGAGAATTAGACATTGTGAACAGTAATCATTTATGATGCTGGTTTCCGTTTTAAATCATGATTACCAATATTTCAGAGGTGAAGAATGTTTCTTGGGTTATGGTTTTGACTCATCTATGCTTGGTTCTCTATATGCGTTCATATTCACTATGGTTATGGGTTTTCGACGTCCCCAAATCGTAGTCTCTGTATTTAGTACAAGTTTGGATTAATGATGTCCTTTGGTCAGCAAAGATTGTTCCTGCAATCTTCCCACCCCTTTAAAATTGATTTTGATCTCTTGGAAATTGCTCAAGGAGGATTAAATAGTCTTCAAACCAAACAATATATCTTACTCAGCTCACCTTGAAGTGTTTAGTAAGGGAGGGTACGGGGTATGCCCTTTATGTTGTATATTGCTCGCTTGACAAGTACGCTGGTACATCTAAGTTATAAATTGAATGTAAGGGGATTTCTATTGAATATGGACTCGCACAAAAGTTTGTACAAACTCCGCTCTTCGAATCAGTAAGTTATTAAACGTTGCTGAAAACTACAGTGATACCAAACCTTGTAATAGGTGCTTGATGGGTAGTTTCGTAGATGTCGGAAAGTTTGTTGTGCCTTACACTTACTAAGGAGAGTATAGAAAGAAAAATACCTCTCATTTATCAAAAACTATCACACTACGACCTTCCACGGTGTGGGCAGCCGGGAAGTGACAACCGCCCTCATACCCGTAACAGCACGAGAAACCAAATCGGTCAAAATCAAATCCTTCCTACACTATTGGGTTTGAATTGACCATCACATCTCTGTGCTGATGTGGTATGGCGACATGAACTGATGTACTTACGTACGAAGTTCTACGTTGCATCTGACTGACTGACTATCACACTACAGTGCAGATTCCAAAGAACATCTTTTTACTCACCCTAACATTATTTAAAACTTAGTAAGCTAATGTGTTGTGTTTAAATGTATATGTTCCAAACTAGTATTTTGAAAAACGGATGGTTGATTTTTATTTGCACTGGGTCATTGTTGTAACGCACCCAAACAAATACTACTAAAACAAGGTAGTAGGATATAACAGTTTGTTGCGATAGGTTATGTAAACCGAAAACCGGACTATAAACAGTAACTGTCGTCAAGAAAACACTACATTCAGCATATGGCTAAATAACATTTTATTAGTGATTAGCTTAAAGTACTCCATCTGTATCATTTTTTGCACAACTTGGTTAAAATGTGATCTCCGGAGACGCTATATACTGTGACTTGATGTGCCTTGGTTCACCACTCATATCAGACATTACGATACCATTAGCACATTTTCCTCTTTTATCACGTCTTTTATGTTTATTTGCATTATCTATGGTGTCGTGATGTGTATTTACCTGGACTGATGCATTTGTGTTTGATCTGCATTTATAGCCATAGTGCTCATAATACATTTCGAATCACTGAGTTTTACGTATTTTTGTGTCCTAGCATTTCTACGGATATCGTACAAACTGAAGCTAGTGCACAAAATGAATGTAGTACGTGTTAATGCTTGTAGAGCCTAATTTATTATTACCTCTCAGCATTATGGTGAGAAATATCAGACGTTATACTTATCCTTACCAAACATCTCTTACTCGTGAACGCTATTATAGATACACGGTAAACTGTATTAAACTATCAAACTGGTCTTATTGAAAAATGAAAATCTCGATACAAGCAGTCCTGTGTATATTTTCACTCATATCAGCTTGAAAACCAGTTATAAAGAACTGATCTTGAGTTTAAAAATGTCATTTGCTTTTTTTCGCTACTTGAGACAAAATCGGAACTGTACTGTTCTACTACACTACAATTATATCTCACATAATACATTGGCTAAACATACGCTATACATTTCATAAGCGTTTCGGTAGTTAGAGCTTCACAATGCAATTGTTGGATGTATTGGCATCTTCTGAAACCTTACATAATTTCTACATCGGTCAGTCAGACAGCTACTACATAGAACTTCGTACGCACGTACATCAGCTCAGGTTGCCATACCACATTAGCACACAGAGATCAAATTGACATTCCAAATCCCATAGTAGTAGACGTAGTAAAAGCATTAGCGGTAATCGAAATGATAAGTAATCGAAGATATCCCAGGAGAATCAAAAAAGAGAAAAAACAGTCATTAAGAATTCAACAGATGAGAATTTGAGAGAACACAAGAACGAAATCACCTACGCCATTGTAAACGATTTTGAGCTATGTCATTCAAAGTCTCTAACAATTGGTTACTACTGTCTCGTGGACCCCAGTCATAACTTCATTCAATAAAGCCTTTAATTTTGATTTTAATGATGCACTCATACTCTTAGTCTCACACCACGCTAATTATTTTATACTTTAGGTTCCTTCTACAAGCCATGGAATCCTCCTCTTATTTCACTTGGCCACCAGTGTTTAAATAATGGATTGTCTTTATCAGTTACATCTATTAGCTGCTTCTCACTACTTGGCAAGTCTCCAACTGCTAATCTAGCTACTTTGGCTCAAATGGCGATAAATGGTCCATTTGAAAAGAAACGCCCTCCAAACAAAGCGATGAACGCAAAGCCATTCATAAAAGGGATTGTGCTAAAAACACTTATACGTAAGCCTAAGAAACCAAATAGTGCGAACAGAAAATGTGTACGTGTCCGTTTAAGTGATGGTCGTGAAATCACTGCGCATATTCCTGGTGAAGGTCATAACTTACAAGAGCATAATATTGTTTTAATTCGAGGTGGTCGCACACAAGATCTTATTGGGGTAAAACATAAAGTTGTACGTGGAGTACTTGACTGTGCACCTGTTCAGAAACCAAGTTCAAAATAAAACGTTTTAGCGATTTAATTGATGGAACCTCATTAATATCTATAAAGATGAATCATACTGCAATATTTATTTTATTACTTTCCCACTATCGTCAAGGGCTTCAACAAGTCGTTCCGTAATGGAAGGTATTTTGTTTGATATGTTCAACTTTTGAGATGGAGTATATATTTTTTACTTTAAACCGTAATCATACAGTTAAATAGAACTTATAGTTCAGGTCAAAAGTTATGTGGCATTCCTCAAGCCTTGGCATTTATAAATACCGAAACTATGTAGCCTGTCCAAAACTTTTATCTTTAGATAACGAAAATCGAAATAACTTATTGGATACTAATGAACTGCTGAGGTGTTTATCCTATTCGGAAGTAGTCATGCAATTTACATCGATATTTGTCCTATGCTTTTTATGATGGCTTTTTGATATAGTTTAGTAACAAATGTAGATACCTTTAAAAAAACAAGAATTTGTCGCAATCTTTAGACCTGGAGCAACTTCTTGAGTCTTTCATTGGAGTGTCCGAGATCATAAAGGAGTATCTTGGTCCGGGAGAAGTATAGTGTATTTAGGTGGTGTTCATAAAAGTGATTAGTAACCATTTACTTCGTACTAACTGACTAACCTTTTTAGTTCACTACAGTTCACAGTATTCAATAGTCAGTTATCATGGCTCGACACGCGAATCAGTAGAAGACTGAACTACTGTTTGATTCGCTAATGGGTTTATGGGCTATAACTCAAATAATAATAAGGATAAATTTTATCTAACGACGCTGAAATCACTTTATTGTAAAGCTACATCAAAATTCGTGTTTACAAAGCGATAAATATATGCTGTAGTGATACCCACAATTTTTAGTGTGCATGTGAATATATATATATATATATATATATATATATATATATATATATATATATATGTGAATATCCCAACTTCGATGTCGAAACATCTTTCACAACCATTTAAATTATTAGTTTTAGACTGGTCATTGGGGAGCGTTCTAGGTTGAAGTACACTACTGGGAAAGCAGCACTACTATCAGATAGCATCAAAGAATGCAATAGTCTTACAGTGGAACTGTTAAATCTCGATAAAAATACTAACAGCTTGATAAATTACTGGTACTACTACTGGTATAACTGTTTCTTATGACTGGTACTCGTTACAGTAGAACTGTACTGATTCGACTCAATCTAAGGAAGAAAAGCGAGACTGTAAAAAGCTGTATTTGTACATCAAACACTAATTCCGCCACTTTCAATTTATCAGAGCGACATCAAAGACTGCAATAAAATATATATTTTTAAATATCCGACCAATTGTTTAATTTGACTACATTGAACTAGCAGTACTTGAAATTAGTTTAACGCATGTATATAATCTGCGAAAACACAAAGTTACCTGTACTAGCTAAGTTGCATTTTCTCTCCTTCCTGGCGGTAAATACCAAATTCGGGCTATGTAGAAATAATCAGACTGAGTTTGAACAGTAATACAGTTACAAATTGATCTTACTGACTATTTCATTAAACAAATGACTAAAAATTTGTTTGTTCGCTTTTAAATTATATACTTGACTTAATGGTTGGGCTTGCCTATCGTGATGAACCAGCCGAGCTATATTGGCCAGAACACATGTTCCTTTAGGTTGAATCATGCCAGGCAGGTTGATTCGAGAACGGTAAGATTAAAATCGGCAACTTTAGGTCTGAGGATGAAGTCGTACTCCTTACTGTAGAGGTCTGACATCAGTAAGTTGTTCCTCTCTGGCGACTAGCATCTGTGGTGATGCTGCCTTCTCACAAGGAAGGCAAAGGTTAGAAAAGGTCGACCTAAAAATGTCACACCTCACATTACCTCATGGATTTCCGTCTCATTCTGGAACAAATGTTTAGATTCAGATCTTGCTCTAGTGCGAGCGCGTATTTGTTTGCGGCTTACTGGACGTAGGAAAGACACTGCAAGGAAACTTCTTAGGGTTCTGCTTATTGATAGAATAGTTGAGAATATATTTCTGAGACAACTAGAAAAACAGTTAGGCGGCCATGTTAGTGATTCCCACCTTGGAACGATATCCAAAAGGCTGTGGAAACGGCAGTGATACCTGCTAGTAAACTAAACCATAAAGTTAGGGATAAACAACTGGTTTCAGTAGCGTCTACCGAACTGATAGACGCTCGAAAACTGATCCCGTCTGGGTGTGAACATGATGAGGAGCGGAGAAAATGTTCGAGAACAGTGGTAGGTGGCGAAAGCAAGGGCGATGGAAAAGGCAGCGGCAATAGGTAGCAGTGGAAAACTATTTAGACCTATCAAGAAAGCCGAAATTCGGAAACTGGCTATTAGTGCGACTACTTCGGAAGAAGACGAGACTATTATTCACTCTCGATCCGGGAGGTTGGAGTGCTGAGCAGAACGCCTTAGGGAACAGATATGCTGCTTACAGCCACACATCAGCTACCCACCATCTATCTCTGGGTAATGTGAATGACAAACTGATATGGGTTCTTCAACTCTTAACGAGGTTAAGAAGCCTGTATGCACCATAAAGCGATCGAAAAACTCGGACCTGATGGATTAACACCTGAGATTTTTAGGGATAGTGATCCAGTGTAAGCGGTTAGGTTGACTGAGATACCAGCTAGAATCTGGAACCTGGACATGATCCCATTTGAGTGGTCTCAGTCACTGATTGTCCCAGTCCATAAGAAAGGACATAGGTCCTCTTGTGACAATCACAGAGGAATCGGTATGACTAATGTAGTGTCTTAAACATTAGCTTCAATAATTCGTCGACCGCTAACTAGGGATCGTGACGAACAGACTATCAAACCGGGATAGTTTGGGGTTTGGACATAGGTGTACATATCGAATATTCACACTTCAACAGGTGCTAGAACATAGACAGATTCTCGATGTCTGTCAATAGTTGTGTTCCTTGACCTGAAGGCGGTGTTTGACTTTGTCGATCGTGAGATTTTGTGGAAGTGTCTGTTAGTGAAAGACGTACCATAGAATTATATTAGCCTCTCCACTGGAACACTACTTGTCGGGTCAGAGCTTATAAAGAACTGTCGTCGGAATTGATTACTTCAATTGGCGTTCGACAGAGTTGTCCGCTCTTTCATTTATATGCCGTTAGTGATAGCATTTAAATCGTATAACTATTCGAATATTTATATCTTGCCAGGAAATTAACTGTGGTGGTGTTTCATTCTCATGTTGTCTTAGAATACACAGATAACTTAGTTCCGTTCGGTGAAGACGCTGATAAAATGTATTCTTCTGACCACCCTAAGCAACGATGCTAGCATGTTTGGAATGAGAAATGTTGCTTCGGGATTGGCTTGCGCCGGCACTTGAACTAGTGATAGGGAGTGAAGTAGTTTAGTGTACCGGCCGCTCCAATTATCTTGAGCGTCTGATCGGCACTGATGGTCTTGTGTGCGTACATACTAGGTTTTACGTTGCATCTGACTGAATTAGTTCCTACGTATTTATAATGATCACAATAACCAGCCCGTAAAGTATACAACGTTACCCATCACTAAGAATACACCTAGTCATTTGTTTACATGGAGATATGGGTTATTAATTCCAAAATTAGATAACTAGCAACAGGCTCATTGCCCGAAGATAATGTTTATCCTCAGTTATTATGGTCTCATTATCTAATGGAAGGGAACTATCATTGCGTGACATATTGACGAGAGGGAATCAGGATTGATATGTACTGAAAGTGAACAATGAGTTGAGACTCATTCAGTACTCGTTAGTTGACCCCAAATGCCCTTCTACTACCGAGAATGAGGAGAGTCCATTCTCACTCTCAAAACGCTCTTGTAATGGCCGAGCGTATATAGCCACTGCTAAGGAAGTCGTGCATTCTGGATTAGATTTTTGGTCAAAGTTTTGGAGAATGACCCCCTATGAAAACCACGCTTCGGTTTTGGCGTCCAGGCGGTATCTGAACCCACTCACGAATACATTAATTTCGTGGTGCATAAATATTTAGGTGCCACATTTGTGCCAGTGTTTATTTTTTTGAACAAATAACACCGATGTTGCTGTAGTCTTAAAAATGATGTTCCGCATAATAGACTCATCCAACTACGTCATACATTTGTCTGAACTTAAAAGTTTAAGCGTTAACGTGATCGTACTTAATGGCTTATGGTTGTAAAAATGATTTTATCAGTATAACAAAGGCCAACTGTACAGTAAGGAGTTGGTGTTAAGAAACTATCAAGCAATTTCTGTACTAACGTTTGTGTTTATTAGGTTTTACACCATTATTGGTTATGATGACCATAAGGAATGTATAGGAGTAGTGAAGAATCCTAACCTATCAGGACTTTATATGATGGTCAACAAATTGGATACACTTTTGAACAATAGTTTTAAACATTGTTTTTAGTCAAAACTTTGAACTCATCAACTTATTTTGTTCATCTTAAGTGTCTTTTCAGTTTAATTTATGAACTCTTCGAGATAAACTTTCCACTGATATCCATTTGGAAGGAATCTTTGTAATGAATTTACTGAAACTTCGTTAACTTTTTACACTCTTATTTGTATACCCTACTTCGCTTACCTGTGTACTCGTTGTTACTGCTTGGTTTCTTAAATGTAGTTTTATTTAAGCATCTAATTTTTTTAATAATAAATGTCTCGAAACAAAACAGTTATCTTTTCTCACATTTTATTTATTGTGCATTATCCATACAGTTAGTATTCTATTTTAGAGACCAAACTCTTCAAATGTCAGATGTTAAAATGATTCCAGATGATGAGTCTCAGCGAGAAAGTTGTGTAGCGCCATCGGAACCAGTTATGTCTGTGGAAAGGTCTAAAGGCAGTAGTCCACCATGCATCCCTCATCCTATCCCACCAAAACTTCCTGTTAATAAATTATATGGAATTCGAGCTATAGTTGGAGCCTGTCTATTGTTTTTTTCTGCGTACCTTGGCTCTATCTTCTTTTTGGCTCCGTTACTGCCATTGGCTATTCTGTCACCCGTCGTTTTTCGCTATTTTAATGATTTGTTCTTGGCCTCGTGGCTGATGCTTGCTGAAGTAAGTCTATATGCATGCATAATTCGATAAATAAAAAGATAGGATAACTGCAGGATAAATTGCTGTTGAAAAAACACTGTTGTTTAGTATAATCGTAATAGAATACTTTAGATTTAATTATTCTAAACTAAACACATATACCAAGTAAGGATTACTTATTTACTCCAGTTACCCCCAATCGAGCATAGGCTGCCAACCATCATTCTACAACCTACTCTGTCCGGCGCCTTCCCAGTTCTATCCAATTTCTATCAAATCTTTTCATGTCTGTCTACAATCCTCAGGGCAATGTGTTTCTTGCTCTACCACTTTCCCTTTGGCCTTAAGGAATTCAAGTTGAGGCTTACGTTGTGGTCCAGTTCAGTGTGTGTTCTATCCATCCCTAGCGCTTTTTCCTAGTTTCCTCCTGCGCTGGAATCTGGTTTGTTCTATCCCACAGTAGGTTGTAGCTGGTGGTGTCTGGCCAACGGATCCACAGTATCTTGCGTAGACAACTGTTAATAGGTTCTTGTATCTTCCAGATGTTGACTTTGCGGTTCTCCAAGTTTCCGCCCCATACGGTTGAACTGTCTTGACATTTGTATTGAAAATCCTGATTTTGGTGTTGATTGATAGTTGTTTTGAGTTATAGACGTTCTCCAATTGTAGAAATGCAACCCTTGCTTTGCCAACCCGTGTCTTTACATCGGCATCAGATGCACCTTGTTTATCAACAACACTGTCCAGGTATGTAAAGGTTACTACATCTTCCACAGATCCTCCGTCGAGTATGATTTGGTTGGCTGGTTGGTTGGTTGTATTTAAGGATATTTCTTTTCCATTGCGTATGTTGAGATACACTGCTGCGGAAGCTAATACGACACTGACCGTATCCATCTGCATTTGTTTTTGTGTGGGATAGAAGAGCCAGATAATCTGCGAAGTCCGAATCGTACAACTGCATCCGGGTTATCCACTGTCATCCATGCTTCCCCTAAAATATTGACGTCGTATTAATCCCGTCAACCACTAGGAAAAGAGGAAGTGTGAGAGTAAGGAACCTTGTCTGACACCGGTAGTCGATGAAGTCGATGTAGAGTGGTGAATTCCATTCAGTTGATTGTTTCACAATGATTCGTATTGTCTGGATTTGATCGGTACACGATCGATCATTGTGGAATCCAACCTGATGATATCGAAATCTGGTGTCTACTGAATCGTTAATTCTGCTCAACAACACTGTTGAAGACTTTGCTGGCAATCGGAGAACAGTGATACCTCTGTAGTTCTCTCACTTGTTGAGATCTCTTTTCTTTGGCATATTGATGAGGTGTCCTTCTTTCCACTCTGTTGTTACATGTTTTCCTCCACAAATTTTGCTAACGTTGATTGTTTTTCCAGTTTCTGCTATCTGCTTTCAACGCTTCAGCCGTATGTTTTTTGTCCTTCTTCTGTGCCACTGTTGACTTGTCTAATGGTCATGGTGACATGTTCAATTGCTGTTGGGTCAACATCAATTGGTAGGTCTGTGTGTGCTGTATAGATGTCTCGTGGTTTCAGTGGGGCTGGTCGACTCAAGATTCCTTCAAAGTGCTGTTCAATGTCGGTGGTTGTTTCGCCTTCTATGTTCTTGATTGCTCTGTTCGGTTTACGATATTTCCCACCGAGATTCTTTGTTGTATCATATGGTTGTCTTATGTTTCTGTCTCGCATCTTTTTCTGCTATCATTGCTAGGTTTTCCGCATATTTTCGCTTTTCAGCTCTGATGCTGCTCTTCACTTGCGTGCGTGCTTCTATGTATTCAGCTTGTTCTTTGGCTTTTTCTGATTTTGTTCGGCTGTTAGCGGTTTTTATCTTGCTATTCTTCCTTTCCTGAATCTAATTCAGAGTATCCACAGATATCCATCCCTTGTGATTCCGTTTGATGATGGATCTCGTGGCCCGACACCTTATAATATGATGAACATATTGCTTCACTGATCCCTTCCCAGTTGTTCTCCATGTTAGTTTCTTCTTACTGAGTAGATTTTGAAAGGCCTGAACCTATTGCTGAGATCTATCTTGAACAATCTGTCAACTCGATCATAGGTGTCTTCGAAGCATCGCTCGTATATCGTGGGACACCCGAGTGAGCAACGCTGTTATTAGGAAACGGGTGCTAGGTAAGAATGGCAGATCAATAGATGAAGTGGTGAAACTTCATCAGTTGAAGTGGTTGGGACATGTGTTACGTATGACCAACCACCGACTACCGAGACGAGCTGTTTTACGGTGTAGGAGTAGGTTGGAAGAAAGCTAGGGGCGGCCAGACCAAAACATGGCAGAAATCCATGAAGTCACTGACAAGTGGACTGAGTCATGTTGGTAGATGTGGGCTACCTGGTTGGGGCCGCGAGACGAAAGTCACCGATGGTTAGCGACCTTGAACGACATGGCTCAAAATCGCTTGCAATGGCGCAGGTGCATCCACTGTTTGTGTTTTCTCTAATTCTAACCTTCTGAATTCCTCATAATCTCTACCTTACTCCTTCTAAATTTATCTTACTGAATTATACTTCTCGAATCATATCTTCGCTCCCTAATGTTCTCCATTACTGCTAATACTTCTACTATCTCTATCACCCTTGGATTTGAACTAACAGTTGCGTCTCTGTGCTGATGCATTATATCAACCTGAACTGAAGAACTCATGTACAAAGTTCTACGTTGTAACTGACTGACTGACTGACCTATCTTGAATTCGTTGAGTTAAGCAGTATCCCAAACCGATTCTGTATTAAGCTTTTGTGATGCTGTCGGACTAGTAGCCCGGTGTCTCTCGAGTTTCATTTTCATTTTATTCACTACCGAGTGATGATCTGAATCTGTCATCTCCTCCTTTGGTTCTCACGACCTCCACCGTCCGTCTAAACTGGTGCAGATGTGATCGATTCGGTTCTCTGTAGTGTGGTCTGGTGAGACCCATGTTACCTTGTATATGGGTTTGTGTGGGACTATGGTGCTATCTCTAACCATTTTGCCGATGGCGAATGGATTTACGAGTCTCTTAACATTTTAGTTCCTTTCTTCTAGTCCTTGTCATCCTACGATGTCTTCATATTTGGTGTTGTCTGCTCCAACCTTGGTGTTTAGGTCTCCCATCAGAATGGCCAAATCGTTTTCCGGGCATTTCTCTACGGCCGACTGCAATCTCTCATAGAATTAGCTTTATCGTGTTCATTGTTATCATTGGTGTTCACATAGCCCTGAACGATGTTCATTGTAATTCCCTTTTTCTTTGTGTTGAAAGATGCTTTTATGATCCTGGGTCTATGAGATGCCTATCTTATCAGTGATTTATGTGCCTGTTTGGGCAGCATCAGTGTGACTCTTTGTGTGTGTGTGTGTGACGCATTTACTTCTTCGTGACCGGAATGCAATAGCATCTTTCCTGAGGTTATTCTTTTTTGTCCAACCAGCGTCCAATGCACTTCCTTTATTCCCCCACATTGTGTGGACATTTCATGTACGTATATTAGTTGCTTCTTTGGTTGTGAGGAGGGACGTCGGCCTTCATTATGGGGAGTGATAACCCTTCTAAATGAGGACATTCCAAGTGTCAGGGTAGAGTTTATATGGTTTGTGTTATTTTTTCTGGTTAGTGTTTCTTACTGAGTTGGTTTTCTACAGGATGGGGTCGCTAATCCCATGCTCGACCATCCTCCCTTATCTGGGCTTGGGATCGACAGTAACTCTAGAAGAGCTGCAAGTGGAATTACCATTAAAAATAGTGTAAATCAAATAAGCATCACATTGAAACAGAATCCACTCTAAATTTTTCGCGAAGCGTAGGAAAAATAATGCTCATTGTTGAAATAAAACTCAACAACCAATGGAATTATTAAGTATTTTTATACCAGCTTATCTTAGGTTGCTAACAGTATAAGGTTGAGTTATTTTTGTCCCGATTCTTACAACGATAGGGAATGAAGTAGTCAAACGTGTAGACCGCTTCACTTATCTGGGGAGTCTCATCAGTGTTGATGCCCTGGTGACTGACAAAATCTCAGCTCGGATGCAGAAGGCTCGATTGGCTTTTGCCAACCTGCGTCACTTATGGTGTAGGCGTGATATCCGTTCTCTAACCAAAGGACGAGTGTACTGTGCAGCAGTTCGCTCCGTTCTCCTATATGGCTGTGAAACATGGCCAGTGAGATTAGAAGATATTCGTAGTTTACTGGTTTTCGATCATAGGTGTCTTCGAAGCATTGCTCGTATACCGTGGGACAACCGAGTAAGCAATGCTGTCGTTAGGAAACAAGTACTAGGTAAGGATGGCAGATCAATCGATGAAGTGGTGAAACTTCATCACTAATTTTCTTAATTTTTTACGTAGTGATGGTGTTTTCCATCTCTGTGGCGTGCAACCATGACTGCAGATCAGACCCACGACCTTCGGTCTCGTACGAAAACACAACTTCCAGACCACTGAGTCGACCTAAAATGGGGTACAGGTCCAAATTCAACCAATCTGCTATAGTACACAGCTATCTTGCATTTTCTTCAGTAGATACCTTCCTCACACCCGACACGTATAAACTATGGTCATGGTTTCTCACTGGAATTCCGGAAATTTCCCCTGGTAGATCTGACATGTACACCATTAAGTGCTGCCTCAGTGATCTGTAAGTTAAACGAGACAGAAGGCCGTGGTTGCACGCCACTGATAAGTCTCGTACTCAGCTGAAACAGCTGTCTAGTGCTCAAAAGTTTTCAGTATTTGTTCAACTTGAATCGATTTGTGATTTCAATGAAATTCAACCATTTTACATCATCTTACTGATAAAATTATCATTAGGATATTTATAATCATTTATGCAAGCCATCAGTATTTGCGTTTTTTAACTTTTTGATTTCTTAGCACCTCTTCGTTTATTGATCTGAACGTTTATTTGGATTTTTCATAGTTTGCATCAACTGTGTTACACTTAGCTAAAGAAAAAACAGCTTATTGTATCATACATCCAATTAATGGCTTTCATTGTAATTCACTGCTTGGATGAAATGAACCTAATGTTTTAGAGTTTACCAGCCGAAGTACCGAGTCGCAAGCGGCATATGTAGAATTTCGTAATTTTTGTCAGTTTTGCCTACTGATTTTTGAAAAACAGTCATTCGATGATTAGTATGCCCATAACATTTGAGAATGTGATGTCAGATATACACTAGAATAACGTCAACAACCACTCAACGTTGTTTGAAAAACTTCTTGTCAGCGTCTCTTGTGATCTGAACAATTCTTATTAAAATATCTTATTTTTTGTACTTAGTGATCATAATGTGCAATAATATTAAATCGAATTTCTCAGTGAAACCAGCCATTCTGAGTATATATTATATGTGGCCGAATTCATGTATTATTATTTCTAGTTTGTAATAAACAAAGTTATTGGTTGTCGTATCCGTCATTTTGGTGATCGAGTTATACCGTCTACTACTGCTGAACCTCATAGCTGTCTCCTTCTGATCAATCATCGCACACAGTTAGATTGGTTTTTCCTGTGGGGGTTAGGTGATCCGATTCAGCGTATGAAAATAATTCTCAAAGATTCTCTTGCGAAAATTCCCGGTGCTGGTTGGGCAATGCAGTGTGGTAGCTTTATATTCTTACGCCGGCGTATCGCAACAGATCAGCAACGGTTACAAAAAATTGTAGAATATTTACTCAAAGTTAAACGGAGTTGTCAAGTAAGCAGTGTTTATTTTGAGTGTATGCCGTGGCCATGGTTCCTGTAGGTTCTGGGTTTAATCGTTTTTGGGTCGTAGATATACAATTCTGAGATTTCCCATGCTTAAGACAGTCCTTCATTGTTCTATAATTTTCAACAGTTATGTAACTTAAATCGATTCTTGTGACTACAAAGATTATAAAATACTCCTATTGTCATTATCCTATCTATTAATGCAATATACCAAAGTTGGCTGTGAATCAATTCGTCAAAAACTCAATTTATTAACTACCTTCAGTTGACAAAAGTTTTCGAGCCTAATTAATCGTCGTTATGTAACGATCTTGAAATAATCAGATAGATCATAGAACATGTGTTGTAATAAAAAGGGCGACAATACAGGTTTTATTGTAAAAATGGAGGTTTCTTACTGCAATCTGTAACTAAAAAGTTATCCATCTAGTTATTTTCGTAGGAAATAAATATTTATAGTATTTAATTAAATCATTAAATCATTATGCCAAATTCACTTGTTAGATGAACGGATCTTGTGTGAAGTATGTATGTTTAGTATAGTGTATCCACTGAATCTAAAACAAACTTGACCACTGAACAAGCATATGACTGAATAGAAATCTCATTCAATAAATCATGTTATATTTTGTAATTGTACGTATGCTCTTCTCTCTAATTTAAATTAGTAGGTAAGTATTGATGTACGTATGCTCTTCTCTCTAATTTAAATTAGTAGGTAAGTATTGATAAGTATTGTGTAACCTAAAATATCAAGTGTTGAATATATTCACCTCAGCATTTCACATGATGCTATTTATTTACGGACATATAAAATTGACCATGTTCGCACTTTTTAAGTGAACTTGATTTCAACATTATATTCTAAAAGAATACAGTTCAAAATAAAAACCAGCTTACATTTTATTCTTACCATCAATTAAAATCCAATTGATTTAGCTCAAAGAGAGATAAGCATCTAGTTCTACTCAGTTCTTCATGTGGAATTACTTTTTTTCCTACAGGATTACTTCTTACTGACTACTTAAACATTTAATCTGTTAGGGAGTGAGGAAATGTCTGGAGTTTCATTTCCATGATAGTCAGTGACCAGTACGTGTTCTTTTAACATCATAAAGTCTCTGTGCACCATATATTATCAACAGAGTTTATTATCTCGATCTTTTTTATGTAATCACACTATTCGTTTAAAGGCATTGAGCATTTGGTGTTAGCTTAATTGTTTAGTCATCTGGAATTCATTAATAAGGTACAAGGTTCAAAACTCCCTACACATACTTGAACCATTAGCCCTAACACAGTTTGGTTCCGAGTCAAGTTCGTGATCTTCTACTTAGTTAGTGTACCCTAATAAGAATAATCTGGAGAAAGATAAATGTAATGAAAGAGTTTGTACATTCATTATTATTTTTACAGCCCTTTAGTTTCCTTGATACTTATCAACATTTTATCTTTTGCACGTTCCATACTTTTTTATTATCGTAATTTATTCCTTTATGAATTATCATACAACATTAGAAGTTTCATTCAAATCTTATCATCTTAGATTATAGCCTACTCTCATTCATAATAACTTTCATCCACTTGTTTTTGAACAACCACAACACGATCTTACATTTTATGACTATATTTTTGACATTTTGTCTCTTTTATTTCTTCTTCACAGATCTAATGAATAATCTACCTATTATATTCAGTATTATTATCATAATCTTCCTAACTATAGATTACTAGTAAGCACCAACAATCTTCATTCAGCAACATTTGCTCTAACTAAGAAGTGACAAGTAAATTGCTATGATATATCTGGCTTTTTTAAGAACTTCTGATTCATGTTCCCTACTGTTCACTTATTTGTTGGTTAAGTTGCCTGGTAGTATGCCTAACATGGCTGTGTCCACGGAAGCAGCTGAATTCATAAATTTATAATACCATTATACTATTAATAACAGTTTGCAATTACCTAAACAACGGATTATAAATTATGATTGAGAAAATTGTCTTAATGCAACATCAAAATGTATCTATCGATTCTCATGTATGATGTATAAGTGTATTCCTTGTCATATTTCAATCTGTTTTCTTACAATACAGTACATTCTTAACGTTAAATTATTCAGTAACATGTGACCGAAAATTTTTCTTGTAATGTTGACTAATAATTATGGTGTCAAATATTCACGAATATGATCTCTCTTTTTAGCTGGAACTAGAAAGTAGCTAAAAGATATTTATGATTATGAAGTTGGGTCAGCAGAATTTACCTGGCGATTCGCGTCGCTTGAAAGAACAAAATACAACATAAGAGTATGAAACAAACATTTGATATTATTGTAGAAAGACATTAGCTATTAGTTTAATTTGGCTTGAGAAAAGCTGAAGTGGTGTAAACTTTTTAATGGCTACTGAACGCATTTATTGGCTGGGTTCACTTTCAATCATAGTGGTTCTACTCTCAGCTTTTGAATGTTTACCCGACCGTAGCTGCTATCTTGACGTGGTAGTTGGGCTCGCCTATCGTGATGAACCAACCGAGCTATATTAGCTGGAACAAATGTCCTTTATGGTCCTCAGTGATTCAGTTGCAACGTGGAACTTCGTACATGAGCACATAAATTCAGGTTGCCATACTGCATTAACACAGAGACCCAACTGTCAGTTCAAATCCCACAGTGATAAAATAGTAAAAGAATTAGCGGTAATGGAGAGTATTAGGGATCGAAGATATCATTCAAGAAGTCTGGTTCAGTGAGATAACTTTAGAAGGAGAAAGACAGGGATGATGAGGAATTCTGAATATTAGGATTTCAGAGAACACTAACAGTGGATACACCTGCGCCACTGCAAACGGTTTTCAGCCTTGTCATCCATGGTCTCTAACCATCAGTGACTTTCTTCTCGCGGACCCCAACTAGGTGTCCTACATCTACCAACATAACCCAGTCCACTTGTCAGTGACTTCATGGATTTCTGCCATGTTTTGGTCTGGCCGCCCCTAGCTTTCTTCCAACCTACTCCTACACCGTAAAACAGCTCGTCTCGGTAGTCGGTGGTTGGTCATACGTAACACATGTCCCAACCACTTCAACTGATGAAGTTTCACCACTTCATCTATTGATCTGCCATCCCTACCTTTTACTTGGCTGTCCCAGGATATACGAGCAATGCTTCGAAGACATCTATAATCTAAAACCAATAACCTACAAATACGCGCTTGCACTAGGACATGATCTGAATCCAAACATGTGCCCCGGAATGAGCGAGTCTTCTGTCGAACCCTTCTATCGGTGGCTGATGGCGATGTAATCTAGTTGGGCCCAATGTTGAGACGACTTTAGGAGACAGGAGATGTTTTTCCCTATGCTTAAAGTTGGTGTTTGCTAGAAATAGGCGGTTATCTGAGCATAGTTGCAACAGACGGTCACCATTGTCTGTTCTCTGAACCATATCATCCACCAAGGTGTCTTTCATTTTCACTTAGTCTACCTACTTGAGCATTAAAGTCACCAGCCATTATTACTACATCGGAGCGCTTAGCTTTTTGGAGCAGGTTCGAAAGCTTTCTATAAAACTCATCTTTCACCTCGTCTGAACTACAGTCAGTGTGGGCATAGGCAGATACGACGAAAAGACAACGACGGGTGTCCCTATCTTTCCGAGTCCTTACTGTCCCGTTTAATCGGACAGCGCACAAGCGACTATCTACAGGGATCCAGTCCGGGAGAGCTAGTTCTGCCCTACGACTCAATACTATATCTACACCAGCAAGCCCCCGGTAAGCAGCATTAGGGCTACCGGATACACGAAGAGTAAATCGGGCTGCTTCTTTATTTCGATAAGGTGAAATTAGATTAATGATTTTACTAGGATCTTGTATGCGTGTTTCGGAGACGCAGCATACTTTTATTGCGCGAGTCCTAGCTAAGGGAGCCTGTTGCCCTATTTGACACAATGTCCGGACATTAAATGCTCCAACATTTAGTCTAGAACGTGGTTTCAGGAAACCAGGAATAACTTTTTGTGAACTCGCATCGTTTGAATTAGCGGTGCGGGGTGATAAAGGAATGTGAGTAGAGTTTGTCGTGAACATAAGGTGGATGCTAAGGGCTGTAAGAAGGATTTGATTGTGACCGATTCGGTCTCGCGTCCTGTTACGGGTATAAGGTTGGATGTCGTTTCCCGGCTACTCACATCGTGTAAGGGTGTTCCCTGAGGAACCTGAAAATGAAGGTAGATTAGTGTTGGTCTGCGTGACCGCAGAGTCCAAGGAACAACTGCTTGAGGTCGGTCACGCACCACCTTTTCATGAGTTTTTAAAGTATTAGATTGAATGAAAAGCTGTAACCATGTCAGGTATAAGATAATTATTCACCACATATCATAAAAGTTGACTGCGTATCATCATGAATTGATTGATGTTAGATATGTATATCATTGGCTGCCGGCTCATCGGTCTAATAGTTGGGCGTTTAGTTGGAGACCATAGGTTATAGATTGGATTCTCTATTGTCGTGTAGTAGATGCCTACTACTGAGAAGCTTCATACTAGAATTAGTCAGTTGTGTTATGGTTCGTGGTTTTCATCGGTGACCTAACTATAATCAATCCATGATTAAAATTATGAATATAATTAGTTTGCAATATTAACAATTGTTTATTATTTATTTTTATCCACAACGTTCACTCAGTTTATTTATTAAATGATGACAAAGTCTATCATCCACTATATTAGTAAGATATTCTTTATCACTAAAATCGTAAACTAATTTACTAATAAAGTTTAATACTAATAATCATGTGCTCGTTATAGTGGGTAACTTTGAATGCATTCCCAAAGTCTTAATGAGAATCCACGAACTCTAGTCGTAGGTTTGACACGTGACTGAGTATCATACTAGGAAAAAGTAATTGTCTATTTCTCCATAGTTTTTATTGATTGCTTTGTTAAACCGATCTGTGATTCACACGTTATAGTGTTTTCCCAGTGTTTATAGCCGATGAAGTGAATAATCAATCGTAAAGTTACTTTTCTCTTTCTTCTCATTGTTATAACAGTTTATTCGCAAAAAGTCATGTTGTTCATTCATTTCCTTTTATTGACACTTTTTATGTTGTTGTTTCTTCTAGTTATTAATCTTTCCTGAGGGCACAGATTTGAACAGTAAATCGTTGGAGAGAAGTGACATTTATGCGAAGGAAAATAATTTACCGTATGTTCGCTATACACTTCATCCTAGGAGTACTGGATTCTTGCATTTAGTGAAATTAATCGGTTTAGGTTAGTTTTTTAACACCCAATTTTCTTTGTTTTTTGAATAAATAAATAAAAGAATGATTTGATTGATTAGGTTTTGTAGAGATTGGTTTATTTTGTAGGCCGTATTCGTCTTAGATTGATCTCACTTTTGGTTCGATGGGAAACATTGATGCACTCTTGTTTCACAATAGTATGGGACTCAACATAGTATTTCGAAGACCTTTATGGGAACTGAACCTAGGATCTTCATGACTAATGATGTTTTGTTACTATAGTATGAGAGAGAAGAAACTAGACCCCAGCGGATGAAGAAATTAGAAAAATGCGCTGGCGGTCAACAGGACACACTTTGCTGAAAGAACTCAACTGTGTCACAAGACCAGCCATCACCTGGAATCCTCAGTGCCAAAGGAAAAGAGGAACTCCAGGGAACACACTGTACCGAGGATTGGAGACAGACATGAAAAGAATTGATAGAAATTGGATAGAACTGGGAAGGCGCCGGACAGAGTAGGTTGTAGAATGCTGGTTGGCGGCCTATGTTCTATTGGGGGTAACAGGCGAAAGTAAGTAAGTAAGTTCAGTACTTGCTACACATACAGTTAAAGCGACATGCTTTCTCGAAGTTCAAGTATTTTGCACACTAATTTTTGACGTCGTCTCAGTTATTTATGTTTTGGTCAGAGTTTACTATATGAATGACAGTTATACCATTACTATGCAGGTATATACGTACAGTAATAAAATATTAAGTTCTATCACAGTTCATCTCAACTTCGACAATCCATCTCATCACAATTATTAGTCTTTATATATGTTTTTAATGAATATTCATAACAACTATATTCCCAATTTCTCAACAATAAAAATATTTTTGTGTTTTATTTTCGCTACTTCTGTCACTATACTTCTAACAAATTTAACATTGCTATTATCATCATCGTAACAAACATGTTATCTATCAGTATAGTGGATTCGTGACTGTAGAATTTTCACAGTTTAATTCACTATCGGTAACCTGGGAGCTATGGAAGGCCTATTTGTCCTAGTACAGAACTCCTCAACAGTTCACATCCACGACCTAGCATCTGGGATTCGGTGAATTTTGCCCATTATTGAATCGACTGAAGACTGATCTTGACTCCGTTGGTTGCTGGCTCAGGGGTCAGGCGTTTGCACGCAAGACTGAAGGTTCTTCGCCTCATTTTCGAATGTAAGTCAAAGGAGCTCATCGCTGAGGAGTCCCATACTGGGACGAAACGGCCCTTCATAACTTCTGGGTTACCGGTTGTGGTTGAACGAAGATTATGGTTTGCACTATTTATGGTGGAGCTTAATAGTAATATTCAATGAATGTACAATAGTGTCACCCCGAAGTTAAAGCCAAATCAAAGAGTGTCGGTCCGAATTTATTGCGTAATTTGGGCGTGTCGATAATTAGAAGACATATGACAGCAAACAACCAATAATATGCTTGTTTTGCAAATAGATGTTTCACAATACGATGTACACTTTAGGTAATAGTTTGTGTCATCGAATAAACTGATTATCTCATCTGGGCTTCCTTCTTCGCTACAACATCATTTCGTGGTTTATCATGCAACTAAATTAGATAATCGTTTAGAAGAACAAATATATATTTGCTACTATACATCCTTCAAAGTGAAATATTTGAAAAGCTAACTGCATATCGAATCAATCTTCATTACTTTTCTGTCTCAGTTGTTATATACTTGGTTTACATTTACTTTTATCCAATCTGTTTTTTATTCAATAAAGTTTTCATAAATTGTACTGATTTGTCCAGTCATTTGTTCGTTTTTTTATGTAAAAAATAGCATTCACCTCTGATCATCAAATCATGTGAATTACATCATTTTAACATTAACTAAACTTGTGAATTAAGTGCATATTCTAAAATTGATTCAGTTTTTAAATAAAGATTTTCATTACAAGAATAATAGTATAATTTTTATTTAAATTGGCATTATATTTTGATTAATCTCCTATATTACTGAGAGATTTATTTTGTCTAAGAAAATGTTCCTAGTGTTATATTATCTACACATTTACACATTTAACTTAAATGTTTGATGATAATCATACCATTATTATTTTGATTCAATAGTTTCAATCCTCAGTTCCTGAAAATATTATGTAGGGTATTGTCGAACAAATGATAATATAGTTTTTATTATTATTTAGGATGTATTGAATATGTCTAATAGTGGAATTTTGGAAGCCCGTTTTGTTCTGTATGGGACTTCTCGGTTGAATATATCTGGGTGAGACTCTAATTTGGGTTATCCTAAAGTAACCCTAAGAATATTCACTTATTTACTAGGGTTAAAATATCGTGATAAATTAGTGTGAGGAAGTAAGAACAGAATTTAAAACCGAACGTAAGCGTTGCGAATTAGAGCTCGGGATCGGCTATAATGCCTAGATGTTATTTAACCATATGGATGGATTTATTTAGTGGCTTGCTAACAATTATAGTCTTGCCTATATCTGCATCTTAAAAATTTTCACTCGGGGACCCCAACTCATTACCTTTCGCTCCGAGCCCTAATGCGTTATCCACTTGTCTACTGAGTCCATGTAGATAATCACATATACATCTGGTATGAATTTTGATTTAATTCGCTAAGATTTAGATATACCGCTATTCAAACTTCAGTTAAAATATCAACAATATGATCCCCAAACCAATATAAATTGAATTATTTATCATTATTGGTTTTATGCAATATTGATCATAAATAGTCATCTGCTGTTATCATTTTCAGCTTCTAGCTATATAAACTTGATTATTACTTCTCTTATCATTTTTCTGTAGGAACGTGGTGTATACTTTTTCTGAAATTTGGATAACATGATTATTAAGTGACTGTATTGTCAGATTGCTTTTACTATTACCAATATCATGACTTAAGTGGTAACATTTTTAATCAAAAACATTTGCGATTTTTTCATCAAGATGACCAGTTTGAATATCTCACAAACAGTAGTTGGTTGTTTGACCTCTGAGATTTCAGATATTCAGGTATATATATATTTATACTTATATCTATATATATATGGGTTTTCAGTGTCCAGGGTAATGAGAATATCATGATTCAGTGAGCAGACATGTTCAGGAATCTTTGTATTTATTTATTATCAATAACTAGCTAAAACTTTTTTTTTATTTAAGCCATGAAAATTCTACAATCTCCACAATTTTCCCCATTACTAGTAATAATAATGTGTTCGCTAGTGAATATTATTCCTTCAGTTCTAGTGCAAAGCTGTGTCTAATGGAGTTTAACCATGTCGGTTACAAGATTCGCCACAGACAACAAAAGTTGTCTGCATATCATCATGAATTGATTGATGTTAGATATGTATATCATTGGCTGCCGGCTCATCGGTCTAATAGTTGGGCGTTTAGTTGGAGACCATAGGTTGTAGATTGGATTCTCTATTGTCGTGTAGTAGATGCCTACTACTGAGAAGCTTCATACTAGAATTAGACAGTCGTGTTATGGTTCGTGGTTTTCATCGGTGACCTAACTATAATCAATCCATGATTAAAATTATGAAAATAACTGACATTTAAATATCCGAAGTATTGGTTTTTAGTTTGGAATTCTCGCTACGTCTTTTTGCTTTTGCTTATTTCTTGTAACAGATAGTCTATCAGAGGTATATGATGTCACAGTGTCCTATCCGGATATTTTACCATCACCCGAAATTAACCTAATTCATGGATATGTCCCACGCGAAGTACATTATCTTGTTCGCCGTTTCACTTTAAATGATTTACTTGATAATATATGTGATAATCGAGAATTAGACGACGAAACAAACGATAAATTGTCAAAATGGTTGCAAGCTCGTTGGTTAGAAAAAGAAAATATTTTGAAAGAATATTATGGTTGGTTATTCTACGAATTAATGGTTTAAAAATTATCGATTTAATATTGCATATATATATATATATATATATATATATATATATATATATATATGGAAATTAAATGCCGGGTTTACCAATTAGGGTCTGAAATTTAACCGATCCGAGAGTAATAATGTTTTTCATAAACTATGCATATACTCAGAATAATTGCCTGAACGATGGACAGAATAAGTTACGATAAGATATGGCTTTTCTCCCTGTGACTTTTAAACCTTTCATGAAATTTAAGTTTAAAAAGGAATCTATCCAAAGAAGATGAGTATTTTTTAAGGATAAGTTTATTTTGTTCTAAGAGCAAGAAAAAGATGAAAACGCAAATGTTTTTTCCATTTTTACTATTCGAGACAGAATGAACAAAAACGTGGTAATAAAAATGTCCTCAGCTGACGAACCCCACATAGAATAAAACGCGTTTTCTCGAGCTGACTACTAACCACATTTAAAAGTTCAAAATAAGAAGAAAATAATCTTAGCCATTTATATCATTTGTTATTATCAATGGTAGAAAGTTATCGTTTGATGCCGTTTTTGTGGTGGTCCATTTTGTTCGAATGGTTACATCAAGAAAAATAACTGGTTTATCTATGACTGAAGTGATAAGTATCAAGTTCAAATACATATGTAGATTTTATAGATATTCATAAATTACTTTCATATCTAAACACACAGGTACTAAAATATTTGACGGTTATTATTAATGTTAGTCTGAACGACATTAGTAGGCTTGGTTGAGGTCTGCAAGGCAACGGTGATCAATGGTTAAAGGCTTCGGGTGATTTATGACTACTCGGATGTAGCAACAGCAAGGTGTTTATTTCCGCGATGCTACCTTCTTACAACAAAAGATAGGAGCTAGAAAATGTTCACCTGAAGAATTTCCTAATTCAGCTTACTTTCTGCGTTTAGTGTTAATGTACTCAATGTACTCTATTAACACATAAGAAACTTGCAAAATGACCGTATGTAATCAGTTATAAGTATTTAGTTATCTTTTAAACTGTGGTCATGCTGCCATGTCACCTAGATCAATACTAATACAGCCTTTGAAGGTCCGTCGAGAAATGTCCTTGCATAGTATAAACAATTCCAGTTGCTTAATGTCATCAAACGAACTGAATAAAATGTCACCATAAGCCTCCGACCCTAATAAAATTTAAGGTGGGTGGTTGTTGTAGTATTTCCAATAACTGAGATATTAGCTAGTATGGTGTCGAGCGCACTGGGACTGGCCAAACCTTGGAAAAATTACCTAATCCATTCTTCTTGAGTTTTTCACACATCTTCCGACCTTGTCTATTATTCGCACATATCTTTGATTGCTTTTATCCGAGTATGTGTGTGTGCCACTTGATTCGCTTATTACATGTCTAGCTTACTTTGACTATAAATACTTAGTAATGCTTCATCGCATTCAGTCGGCTCGCCCGTTTTTCCCACTTCGTTTCGCTTTGCGTCAGCTTTGTATTCTGCTCCCGATAAACTCATTCAACCAAATCCGTACTTGGTTTCCTATTACCGCCGTCGCACAAATGGGGTTGGCTTAGGTATAATATTCGGAAAATAAGGAGGGGATTTATTTCATAACATACTTAACTGTTCTTAAATATGGGTGTCAGATACCTATAGAAAAGCAGGCAAATCATCGAATTGTTTAAGCGACTAATATTTAAGCTAATAAGGGTAATGTGTGTGTAATCTGTTACATTCAAGTTCATCATACATGATAATAATACAATGAAATAGACAAATTTTCATTGACCTAATGACACCGTTATATAGGTTAGTTGATGAGCTTAACTAAATTAAATGTACACGGAATCAAATGTGAGGCGCTATAATAGTTTCAGTTTATTATTTCTGTATTCTAACCAATATCTGTTATCATCAACACTATATTCAGTCGGGATATATAGACGAACCTTCTTCATTTTTTAAATAATTTGTTGATTTATTTATTAATAATTATTTAAACATTTATCTAAGTTAAAATCAAATAGACAAATTGCCACTAACCTAATAAAACTTAAATAAACTAATTAAAGGACTTAACCAAATTTAGTGCTCATAGATTCAAGTACCTAGAGACAAAGATCAACAAAATACTTAGTACCAAATTATGTGCAACCTGTCTACTAAACACCAAATAATCTGTATTCAATCACAGTTCACACTATGTATGATTGTTATTAAGGCAGTGGAATCCAATACAGGAGTTTATTTCCATTTGGAACTTGTCAACTTGTATCTCAATGTTGATTTCTAGGTTGGGCTTCAAGCCTAATATCTTCCTCTTCATCCACCAAACTAATGAGTCTGGATAACCAGTAACTTGTGTATCCTTAGCAAATCGCCTTAATATAACCATTTATTCACAGGTTTATATTAAGGTCAATTAGTGTCACCATTGTAGCCAACCGCTAACGACACACATATCCCGACAGAGATTGATCGACTAAAGCCTTTAACATCAGTAAAAAGAAAATGTAAACCTTTATAAATATTATGATTCTTATAATAATAATAATTACTATTACTTTAATTTATCATTAACAATCATTTAATTAGCACTATATGTTTGTTCTTTATTTTCACATTTTACAGCTAATCCTATTGGCAAACGTTCATTTCAAAATGAAATAACGCCTGACAGTTTAGTATTTTATGTGAATTCATCAGATAATCTAATATTCACTTATTTAGGCTTATTCAACACTGGATTTTGGTTTCTTTCCATGTTCACTTTTGTGTATCTCATTTACACTACATTCTATATTCAAATTTATTTTATCACAATCCAGTTGTTGTTTACTTATTTCACTTACTATACAAACGGTGTTAATATGTGGGCCACCCAATGGATTGGTAATTCTGTTACTGGTGAATACAATAAGATCAATGATACTGCTCATAATTCTGCTACTGACACTACTCATAATAGTAGTTGTAATATTAAACGTGATGATGATGTTAATGATAATGACAATAGTGTTTTCATTCATTCTGTACAATATGGAGGTGTTGACCACAACAAAAAAGCTACCTAAAAATTAATATTGTCATTGTTATAAAAGCAAGTGATGAATAAATATAACACGCATTCAAAGTATTGAGTTCATTTTATTTTGTTTGTTGTTGTTTTTGTTTTTAAATTAATTGTTCTTTATATAATCATTTTCATATATGTGTTACTTGTTTCACTTCATTTTGTGGTTTTGTTGTCTCTTTATCTATCATCACCATCAGTCAGTATTAACCATGCTTATGCATGTGTGAACTTCCTAATTTTTCGCTATAAATGCAATATCTATGTTATTTTATTTTATTTTTCCCATATATTATTCATTTAATATTTGTGTTACTTGTCAGATAGCCGACTGGATTTATCCGTATTATTTTATTTCGTAATTTATTTACCTACGATGATTTGATTTTTCCGTGTGCAAATTATTTCCTCTATTATTCATTCAGACATTATTTGGTACTTATATGTGTGCATTATTTCACCTATTTGTTGTTCGTTGTTTTTTTTATATTGGTTAATTGGAATTTAGATTAGATATAACATCGAAATCCTACATTACATTTATTTTCATTAATATATATATATATATGTATTACTACTCATGCAAACATGTGTTTTCCTCAATAAAACAATTAACTTCATTGAATTGCTTCGTTATTCATTTACGCAAACGTTGATCTTATGAATCTATTCTTCAAAGTATGTTATATTAATTTATATATATATATTGCTTGAAATTCCGAGTAATTTCAGCCTAAAAGATCATCGATATTGAGTAACGAACCGAATGCCGATTTATGTTGTCCTGCATTCTCTCTGTAGTGTGTCCGATTATGTTGATGATAACAAAAGTTTCTGTCGTGATATTGATCCTATTCTGAAAACTAAGCGTAAAATGAGCAATACATATCTCAATAAAGCTAATATTATCACTATACAACCAACGACAATTTCTGACAGACTCATCGCGTCATTTCTGTAATGTTAATAGTTAAAATCAGTTGTTAAAGTAAAAGTGGGTTCCATGCAAATAGGTAATGCTTTTCTATCTGTGATCAATCACGGAAGTCAATAGATGCAGACTGAAACTTTCAAATACATCAAATTAGCTAATGAGTCGCCTGACTAAACCTTCACTTAAGTATAGTCGAAGTCAGGAAATGTCATGCAACTGCAGGATAGAGAAGTCGATATGGAAGCAATTAAAACCTGCTCCAAAGCAAAATTTAGGCAAAATGCTATTTTATAAATACACTGAAGGTTAGATTTAACACAGATAAAAGGTTATTGTTTTAAAGTAGCAATGGTTTTCTCGTTTAGGTGTCCTACTTTCAATATCAGGTTCTGACCCCGCTTCACGCTTAGATTATGAATTCTACTCAACCACCTAGTTAATAAGCTAAATTAAATTACAATTGAAAATAATGAAAGGTATCAGTTCCATTTCCTATTAATCACAGATAGAGAACGTTCTAGCAAACCAGTTATAATCATCGGTATTATTTAGTTGCTTTGTATACAGTTCCACTAACTACAATGTATCTTCTGCAATCCATAATTTTTTTCGAGTGGAATTGTCAATAAGATTCTTTGTAACCTTTGGTGTACACTGAGTTTGAGATCTTAACTGTTACCAATAATTCCAAGTTATAGATCATTCTTTGGTATTTTTATTGCTAATCGGTCGTACATTTTATCGTTGTGTAGGTTACAAATCGCAATCCTGGTGATTTATACTTTAAAAGTTCATTTCAGAAATCGAATTATTGAAGTTTCTTTTGGTTTATTATTACTACTGCTTATGGATTAAAAACACTTGAATTTGCCTTATTCACTATTTAAGCAGCCGATCTCATTTTTTATTTAAACCGTTATGCACATTACAGACTGATTTCAGTCAGTTACAACGTGGCACGTACGTCCATCAGTTCAAGTTGACATACCACACACAGAAATGGAATTATCAGTTCAAATCCCATAGTACTAGAGGTAGTAGCAGTATTAATGGTGATCATATTCTGTTAGGAATCTATTTAAAACCAGGATTAACCAGATAGTCGCCTCATCCTAGCATGGGATATGTCAGCAGTGCAAATCTTCGACCCTACTAAAGGTCAAACTTCGGACCAATTAATGGACATATAATTATTATTATTATCATTATTTGCTGCCGTGAGTGTTTTCACCTTTAAAGTTTCACATCACGAACTGACTTCGGTTAGATAACCACTCAATACATTTCGTTCTGTGGAATATGATTGAAGTTTATATCTTACCAACACCACTTCCGATGCAAAGAAAATTTCGTACTTTGTTTAGAAAATCTTGTAACTTTTAAGCGAAGTTGTTGGTTCTCTACTTTAGCATACATCGATCATGAATGATTTCCTTGTCGAAAAAAATAGGTTTCATACTTCAGAAATTATCGCGGTATAATGGAAAAATATTATTCAAACGATCTTAATGGATCATACTAAACTATTTTTTATAAACAATCATTTAATTTGTCATAATACTCTTTTCTAGTGTATACATAATTCATTATTTTGTATAAATTTCTAGTTTTTGATACTTTTTCAATTCATGGCTTTGTTGATGGAACCTTTTCACAACAGATTTTGAATAAATACTTGTTTTCAACTGGGAAATATGAATTCGCCATAAAAAAAGTGAAAGCATTCATTCATCAAGAAACAAGAACACTGCGGGCAAAAGCCGTGCGGAACCATGTTCAGAGTGTGCTATTGAGAATATACAACACGGCCAAACATTGTTATAGTTCATTGTTAAAATACAATTAGACATAAACTTCCAAAGTGTTCCAGAATTCTCACTCTTGGAAACAAATATTATTTTCAACATGGTAATGGTTTTACCATTATATCTTAATATCGAAAACTAGAAATATCAGGAATTATTATACAGTGGGTTTGTTCTACTTTCGTACTTTTCAGCACTGGACATCATTGATCTCGTCAGAAATCAAACCAGGAGATTACTTTCAGGTCACTAAATTTGAAACCGGTCGTTTACATTTTTAGTTTTATCATTTCGTGATATGATTTAACTGCTATTCATTTCCCCTAAAGAAAATGTACAAAAGCGGAAAAGTATAAAAAGTTTGTTTTCGGCTTTATTTCATGCTTCAATTTTTAGGGCTTCTGCTACAGTAGATGTTCAGGTGTGGATTTCTTATTAATAAGGAAGAAGATATATTGAAATATTTTTCATTGTAACTATCATTGTATCTGTTATCCTTCGAGAAGTTTCGGAATTACAGGTTTACTTATACCTAGGTTTTCTATGTTTTTTAATCGAAGTAAATACGATGAATAAATGTACAGAATTTTCCTTTCACAGATTTACACACACCATGAAAAAACCGAACTACTTGTAGTTCGATCCAAATCTAATAAGATGTATTTATTACAGTATGAATCACTAAAACATTTTACGTGATAGACAAAGATTTTAAAAGGTGCTGTGCGTAAATGCTCATTTGCATGAGTCAGAACAAACATCAGACTGCTACGTATAATTTACCTAAGTGCTTGATCATATTTCAATATTGTTTAGTATTTAGTTACCTCTAATGATGTGAATGACTATTTTAAGTAATATTTAGTCAAATTTTTTTAAAAAGGAACTAGTTATAGATTTTAAACGTGTGACTGTGATTTATAGAATATATATTAAAAAACAAAAATATCAATATTACAGGAAGAAAAAATAAAAATTTCAAACAAATGAATAACAAGATTGGTTAAAGTTTACTACTACTGAAACCTTTTTGTTAGTGTTAATATTACAAATCCAAAGGTTCACTGGTGTTGTGAAAAATCAAGTCAGAATATCGATAGCTTACCGTTGAACGTAATAATTGCAATTTCGATGTATGTTTCAAGTTATTTGGTATGGCAGAGATACTCAGGGTTTGGATTAATCGATGAGTCCCATATCAGGACGTTAGGGCCGTTCCATTGCTTCCAGGTTTCTAACGGTGGTCGAACAATGATTGATCCATGATTTTGATAATAAATAGTCCGTTATTATATGGGATTATTTAAGTGTACTTCACCTACAAATTAATCTTAGTATTTACGTACTCATTACAATATTTTGATTGTTGAAAAATTCCCATCATATTAGATACATATATGAACCAAATACAATTTTTAAAATTAATTCTCTTCAGGTTCTACAATCATATGTCCAAATTCATAATCTAAAAGGTGACGTATTGGTATACTTGACGATGAATCAAAGCATAAAAGTATAAAAATTCTCCCAAAACAGTGCCTCTAATATTTAGCATGAGATTATATTTGAACTGAAACCCATCACGTCAATACTAATTAACTGATGAGTGAGAAATGCCTTGGTTATTTCTTAAAACTAAACGATGTGAAATTTTTTGAGGAATTAAACTAGTTCGTAGATCATTCTTTCACATCACTACAATTTATTTCAGTCAACTTAAAATATCCGTTTTCTTGAAGAACACAGGACAATTATGTTGTGACTATTTTATAACAAGGAAACCATAATGGTTACTGCCAGCGCTAAAATTTCTCATTTTATTGCCGATTATCTAACATCATAGTCCTTAGAGTAATTTTTCTTGTCTTCACTCTTCTACAATATATTTTTTCCATCGCCGTTTACTATCTGTGAATTGTTTCGTGAAAAAAAAATCACAAAAATTTTATATAATGTAGACAGCGAAATCTGATATAACTTTCCTAAGAATTGAAAGACAAAATAACAATACAATGTTTAAGTGCTAGATTAATAACTGAAAAAAAACAAGACTGTTTTTTGTCATAAAACTAGAATCTCTCTTTGCAAAGCGAATTATTGAAAAAATAAAGATGCTTTTGTTTTATCGTTGATATTAAATTTGATCAATTGTTAGTTAAGGATTTTGTAGTTTAGTAGTTGATTTTACCGAGAATCATGCAAGATTCAAGATGGTGATAAATCGACCGTTTGCGGAAAATAACTCATAGTATGTATGAGTGC